AAAGAAGGCTGGTTGTTTCCCATCGTGTCCAGTCAGCTCCCACCCCCCCCCAGCGTCCTTCAAGAAGAAACTGATCCCTTCAGTTGCCCCCAGTCACCACACTGGTGTGTGAGAAATGTACTGTAAAAACAGTTGGAGTGTTTATTTATTTATTTATTTATTAGGGGTGCAACAATACATGTACCCGTATCGAACAGTGCTTTAGGTTCCAAAATCTATATTTTCATTTTGGAACTTTTTTTTGTGCTTTTATTTTGAAGGCAGGTGAGCGTTTACGTCAGCCCCTGGAAAAAAAAAAAACACTTGATGTGAATTTCCCACCTTTCTATGTTTTTAAAGATGTTGCTTTTRTCTTCCCTGGTGGTGAGCTGGAAGGCCAGAGCGGCGTGGTGGCTCTCCAGCACGGCCGTGTCGTTGTAGAGGATGGCCAGCTCACTTCCTGCGTTGCACAGGAAGCTGTTGGTGCGGCCCGGGTGGTCCACGTCGTGCACCGTAGCAGCAATCAGGGCGGCCACCTCATCAATCGGATCCAAACTTTGCTGTCAGAGGAAAACATTGATTTAATTCAAATACTTTAAATTAAAGGTTTGTTTTGATGCAGACAGAAGGACCTATAAATATTACAGAAGTACTCAGTAAGATGTTAGCAACATTTTAATTTTAGAGTTAATCCTGAGTGATGTAACTTAGTGATGTCCTGGTTAAACCAATCAAAAACCACTCCTCTTCAATAATCAGCTTAACTAGTCCTCATCAGGTTAAAGAAGCACTGACACACTTGGACTGGACCAGAACTCTGATGGATCACAGACAACCAGAGCTGCAGAGACTGGTGAAAAAACACCTTTTCAAACAATGCTGTGGAAAATGCTGAGTCAGCATATATATTTATTTTTTTATTGTTTTTAGTTTCTTCAGTTTGTTTGTTTAATCAAAATACTTCAGCAGATTTTAATCTGCTTTGACCATTTTCTCATATGAAAACCTCCGGCTCCATCAGGAACAGTGAGACTTTTGATATTCCAACTTTTACAATTTTTGAATTATTTACATGAAGTTATAAAACATTTCCCCACAAAGATGTGTTTAAAGCTGCTTCTGCTACGAGCTCGGTTTGTCTTCTCGTGCTAGCCTTTTGTATGCTTCTGCTGCATTTTACTTTTAGTAACCATTTTGTTAATTAGACTTTTTGAGCTACAGTTTTGCAAATTACAGCTTTTACCAAAGTTGTTGCTAATACTAGCTTTTTGCTACATTTGTGCGCATTTTAGCTTTTACCCATGATCTTGGTCATTTTAGATTCAACATGTGTTGTTAATTAGCATTTGGGCACAGTTTTGCTAAATTTAGCATATAGCTATGGTTTTGCTTATTTTAGTTTTAAGCAAGAAATGCTAAGTTTAGCTTTATAGCTTTGATGCTAAATTAGCTTTGAGCCACTGTTTTGTTAAATTGACATTTTATTTTATTTTTTCAGTTGTAGGTTTTACTTACATTGTTGCTAACTAGCTTTTGGAAATGTTTGTACTAACTTTAGCTTTTGGCCACAGGATTCCTAATGTTAGCGTTTAGCTACTGTTTAGCTTATTTTAGGTTTAGACAAGTTTTGCTTTGTGGTCATTTTATATTCAACATGTTGTTAGTTTAAGCACAGTTTTGCTAAATTTAGCGTGTWGCTACTGTTTTGCTTAATTTAGTTTTAAATGAGATATGCAAATTTTAGCTTTATAGCTTTGATGCTAAATTAGCTTTGAGCCACTGTTTTGCTAATTTGACTTTTTGTTACAATTTTTCCAGTTTTAGCTTTTCCCTATGATTTAGCAAATGTTAGATTTTGTTTTTACTTATGTTGTTGCTAACTGTAGGTTTTGGCAATGTTTGTGTTAGTTTAGTTTTTTTGCGACAGTTTAGCTAATTTTAGCATTTAGCTGCTGCTTTGCTTATTTTAGCTTTAGCAAGTTTTATTTAATTGTTTTAGCTTTTAGCTATAGTTTTGCAAATTTAAATTTTTACCCAGAAGTTTTGTTGGTTTTAGCTCTTTAACAAAACATTTAATTTTAGCTTTTAGCTCTTGTTTTGGTCTCTTTAGTTTTAAGCAAAAAGCTTGGTTAATTGTAGCTTTTAGCCACAGTTTTGCTAATTCATGCCTATTTTAGCTTTAAGCATGATTTATTAATTTTATTTATCTACTTTTTATTTGTACCTTTAAGCTACTGTTTGGCTAATCGGACATTCGTCAATTAAATTTTTTTACCCAAGATATTTTTAATCATTGAGCACCAGTTTTGCTAAAGTTAGCTTTTAGCTTCTATTTTGCAGATCTGTTCTGCTGTTTTCAGTATCTGGGGTTTCTCGGGTTATTTTTGCGGCTCTACCTTGACCCTCTCCTTGCACAGGAAGTAAGCGGTAGCGTGCAGGACGTCGGCTGCGTGGCTGGAGTTGTGGTAGGAGTTGCTGGAGTGATAGTTGGCTTCGATCACTTGGAGCCAGGAGCGCAGAGTGGCTTCAGGGCAGTTCAGGAACTCGCAGACCCCGAAGCGGGAGAAGATCTTCAGGCCCAGGTAGGTCAGAGGCCTGTGGGAGGATCCAGGTTGAGAATAATTCAACTTTTTTTTTTCCCACAATAAAAAAATAAACCAATCGTTTTCTAACCGCGCACCGTTTCAGGGTGGCAGCCTCCAGATTAAAGATGTCAAAGTCCCACGAGTCCTCGGCCTCCATGGTCTGAGCGATACGAGGGGGGATGTCGTTTAACGACAGGGGGGTGGTCAGGTGGCTGGGGAGGTGGTGGGGCTCTGTGAGGAAAAACACAAGTTTGAATTCTAACCGTCTCCACCTCTGCCTGAACCACAGGAAATAAATTTCAGATTTTTACAGCGGAGCTGGAAAAAAAAGGGAAAAAACTGCGACATGAAGTTCTGCTCGGCCCGTCCGTGTGAACTCACGCTTGGTGGAAAGGATGTATTCATTTCCTGACAATCTGCGTAAACCGTCCTGTGAAGAAGAGACACAGACACAGAGTTTCAGGGTGAGGAGGAGGAGAGGAAACCTCGCCGCACCATCAATCAGCCCAGGTTAGCAGCCTGGTTACACTGGCTCTGACTGGAACAGACCGTAACAGAACTCTGGGTCCCATGTCGCAAGGCCCAACCAGGGGCGGAGCTAGACTTTTTTCAAGGGGGGGCCAAGGTGTCTTTTAGGGGGGGACACACAAATAAAGAAAAGCACTCCGGATTTGAAAATTCAGGATGGCTTCCACAGAGACAGACTTTATCATACTGGAATACAATGAAATTAACCATCAATCCTTATAGTGCTAACCACAATAAAAACAATAATAATAAAAAAAAAAACATAAAATAGATTTACAAAATAGTTATGAGAAATACCTGAAGACAAATAAATAAAAACAATTATTGCACAGGTCCGAGTAGCGTAAAAAGATTCATGCGCGTGTGTTCGTAGCGTTCGGTTCCATTTTAAATGGCTTTAATTCAGCTGTTAGGAGAAACTTTGAGCTGAAAGTTTGTGATCATAGCTAAGAATGAGCCAAAACCCAAGCTGAATGCTAATCACAACTTATTATTCAGCTATTTTTAGACAAAGCTGAAGATTGGTGTAGAAGTAGCTGAAATTAATCTTTATCAAATTCCAAATGCAAATCAAAAATCCAAGATGGTCGCCACAGCTAACATTAACAGGCTAAAATTCAGCTACTTTACTACTAATTTGTTATGGAGAAGCTAAGAATGATCACATGCTAATCCTAAATTAAGCTAATGCTGATTTTACAAAGRGCTACATTTCAGCCATTTTTGAACAAAGCTGAAACATTTAGCATCAGAAAACCATCTTTAACTAAATCTAAATGTAAACACAAAAATCCAAGATCCCCCGCCCACTTCTCAGGTATTTGGGGGGTGGCCAAGCAGGTGCCCAGTGTGGAACTTYCCACCACCATAGCCCCCCCTCTGGCTCCGCCCCTGAAACCAACAGAACCACATTATCAGCAGCAGAGACAAGACCCTGACGCTCCTAAACTCAGACCTGCCCAGGATCAAAAGAGACCACAGTCCAGCCTCATCAGGATCAGCTTCTTGTTTGAGGACAAACCCACCTGTAAGGTGGTTCACAGACTTCCTGTCTGACAGGAAGCTGCACGTTAAGCTGTGGGGGGGGACGGACGGACCACTGTTCTCCCTGAACACCTGCAGACGACACCACCCTCATGGGGGCGGAGCCTCAGGTGTCTCGGTGCAGCAGAACCACCTGGAGCTCTGAGGGCTTTAGAAAGAGCTTCACTCCAGTCTGAACAAAAACTCAACATGTCTGACTCAGTAAAACATGGTTCAATGTTTTATTTTACTAACAGAAACTCATCTGAACCTGGGCTGCTCAGTGTGTGTGTGTGTGTGTGTGTGTGTGTGTGT